AGATGACTTTATTATAGAATCGTAGACTCCGTTATGCGTTCGAAATTTAAATAGTTGGAAACTTTTGCGGCTTTAACGAGCACCCTTCGCAATCTGGCATAAGGACCCATCAACGAGGCTGACGTAATATAGCTCGCAGCTGCAGTTACGCTAAACTTCCCAGATGATATCCACCCGTTATTATCAACCGTCCCACCGACGGGGTTGATGTACAATAGAACGTGTTACTTTAGAGCACCCTGGACCTAGCCGCTTCTTAATAGAGCTTAACTATTTTAATGAGGGACCGTACCAGAGATGGTTTCGGAGAATATCCACATTTTCGGCGATCCCGTCGCCTGTCCGCTTCTCCATTCCTTTACGAGAATACTCAATTTGAGGAGGCAGTTCCGCGTGGCTGCGTGGTGTCAAATTAAGACGGCACGCAAGATGGATAATACTTGATGAGGGCTTTACGATCCTTTAGGAAGATATAGTATCACCTAGATACAGTATCACTTTACTATATCTTCCTAACTAACTAGAAGGAAAGCAATAAGAAACTAACAAGGAAAATGTATGAGCATTGATAATTAACTTGACCATATGATACACATCTTTACTAATTAATGGTTAAATCATTAATAAACTCTATTACTTATCTTTCAAGATAACAATACTATTATTGAAACACATTAATATATTTCTTTAATCATATATATCATTAATTATATATCGTTTTTGAAATATATTATAATTGATAATTATTATAATCTATACAGCTACAAAAAAAAAAGAAAATAACTCCACTAGTGTCTCGATAAGAAATAATAATAAAAATAAGAAATAGTATACGTTATATCGTGAGAACTACTAAACCTAATTTATAATTTGGAATACCCACCAGAGTTGATGCTCTAACATGCTATTTTTAAAGTCATAAGCATCAGCTTAACGAAAATGACTATAGCGTACATGTACATAGCGTGTATGCATTATTAGAGAGCGCGAGGGAAGGACGTCAGATGAAAATCGAATCATGCAATTAGGCCTGATTCATTTGCAATCCCATAGCGTGCGTACTAATTGCACAAACGGATTCAGCGTCGATATTCGCGTTCATCTTTTGTAAGATACAAGGATTCTGCATAGCGCCTAACAAAAAGTGATCGCTAAAAAAAATTGCAGAATAAAATAACGAAACAACAAAGAATCGTATTTGTTCGGGTATTCATAACTGACTCACGTATTCTCCCGTTTTCCGATATTTCGTCATGGGAGAGACAGATCGAATTACCGTGTTAGCGCGTTTAACTCGTCAATTGTAGATTGGCGCACGTAGCATAGAAGCTATAACACATAGTAATTGTTGAATACAGAACTAGGCGTATAATTTGCGAAACTCTTATCATTATTCAAAAACTTTGCGATTCCATCCTTTTTGCTTATGCAAAAAGAAGTAAAACCTGAGACACAAACATTCACGACGTTTTAAAATGCATAATCCGAATATTTCTAGACATTTTTTTATATTGTTTTATTAAATCTGTAGATACAATAATATATCAGATCCTGAATATTCTATAAAATCAATTAGATTATAAGGCTGTTATCTTTACGACAGCTCTACCGGATTTTTTAATGATAATTAGTTTACATCAACAGCAATAAAAACCTCAAAATTGGCTCTTTTTAACGCATTGAACCGTGCCTTCCAACATTTAATTTCACACACAGTTTACTTTATGTAACTTTGGCAATTGATCTTAAGTAGATAATAACCTTTATGCATTCGCATAAAATGAACGTAAAATCACGTTGTCACCTTCCAACATAATGATGATAAAACATGTTTAAAACTTAAAAAAATATATATCTTATCATTTATTAAATTTTTTTTCCAAAATTTGATAATTAATAAATAACCACGAATATTTTAAATATCTTTAAAATTTTTAATTATTTCATCTTCTCTTTTTCTTACTATTTCTGTATTTATATGGATATAATAACAGCGTGATATGTTCATCCAATTAGGCAGTTTTGCTTTCAATAAAATATACAATTTCAGTATATTTAATCCTATACTTATTATATAGGTATTAACAACTACAAATTGTTGTAAATCCGTTAAAAAGCACTGGCTGTACGACAATGTTGCAATCACATAGACATCAGAACTATTCCGTTAAAATCTATTTTGATCGTGCTCGATGACTGTTGTTTCGAATACATGCGTAAATAAATCCGTTCCGTCACAATTTTTCATGAAATATAGAATAATCATGTTACCATTCAAAATAACCCACTTGGAAAACGTAAAATTGGATTGCAGATGCACCATTAACAAAAACAATATTACAAATTAAATTTAATAATGTGCAAATATAAAAAATGTATTTGAAATAATAGTTAAAAAAACGCCTATTAAAGATTAAAAGACATTTAAAATGAAGGAACAGAATGCAATTTTAAAAAGGAGCCTATATAACATAAAGAAATTTTAAAAACATTAAAAAATATTTAAAAATAGATCATTATGTAAATCAGTGCACAAAAATCTGAATCAAATTTTATTGCTTTCGTGATAACTCCAAAATCTCTTTATATTAAATATTAAGATTCCAATAATCATTAATAATTATTATATAATTTTTCTTGATAAAAATGTTTCATAAAAATATAGAATAATAATTTCGCATTAACTATATCTGAGAAAATGTTAGAATAGTCAAATATTTCATGTATGTTGCAAATTGAAAATATAAAAATACATAATCAGTTTAAAACTCTGTTAACTATAGAAACTATATCAAGCACGACAAGAACTTTAACCATTTTAACTTTTCGATAATAAATTTTTAACATCCTTTTTTATAATTTCATTTCTCTCGTTTTAACTCGACGATGGCGTGTAAAAAAGAACTTAAGCCAGATCAGCACTTATCAAGGCAGCGCTGCAGCGTAATGCATATTAAATGAATACCTCATCGAAACCAGGACAGCACAGTATGTCAAGAGTAATGTACACTGATTCGTTGTTTACAATAACAATAAAAATCTGCGATATTGAATTCGACTAAAACGCACCTTCTGCACTACATCAATATTACCTTTTATGACGACGAGTAAAAAATATTCGATACGGCATTTCTACTATTTGCATACGTCAGAGCATCGATATGTTCAATCGATATTCATCCCGGAAATTGGAACTACATCAAATTTGGATAACAAGTTATTTTCTTCCTTATTTTTTAAAAAATAATAAATCTAACATTTGCAAAGAGGAAAAGATAAAAATTAAAAAGTTCATATATATATATTCTATAACTTCAGAAATGTTATTGGTTTCATTCATTACTTTCTCTTATATAGAACTTTATCATTTATTGTTAAATAAAAACTATTATTATTAGTATTATATTATTCGACGCTATTATCTTGTCATATTACGTATAATAAAATGTGACGAAATTAATGTCAAATTAATTTTATGTTTGTTATTAATTAACAAATGTATTTATTTAAAAATACATACAACTAATATTAAAAATAATATTAAAAATATTTATATAATATATACGTTAGCAAAAAAAAAGAAAGAAAACTAGAAATTACCCGTTTAAATGTATTGTGTCTATATATAGTTATTGTAAAGCCGCCTTTATCACACACAGCAGATAAAATATAATTCTATAATTACTACTAATGGTAATAAAACATTGCGTTTAATTTTTTTTTAATTTTATACATGTATATACATGCGTATATATATATAAAACTATATCTTTTTAAATTATTTAAACAAATTTTAATAATACAAAACATTATTTTAATATGTGACATAGAAATGAATATTATTATATGCGCCAGAAACATCATAAATCGAAAGATAATTTTTTTTTTATTATGTTAAACCAATTAAACAGAGATATTGCGCGTTGAACTGTAACAGACAATTATAAATTCCTGTGCAATTTACACAAATTATAAATACTCATTAACGATAGGGATTTTGCTCGATATATAAATCGTATTATAAATTATTAAACCTTTGATCGCATATTTTTATAAATATATAAATATACACATAATATTGCACGTAATCAACGATTTCATCAATCATGCAAAATCAAGACTAATCCATAATTATTTATATCTATATTGTAATTGAATCACAAACTTTACCAAGTTTTTTACTCGGGATAAAATTAAAAACTTGGACGGCTTTATAAAGCTAATTTCTCTTTCTTAAGAACATACACATAGGTAATGTGCTAAAACTTTATAATCCAATCAATCAAACAGTTTCTGAGAGAAATACATATATAGTTATATGAATATGAATATATGTACAGAACAAGCGCATATTAATATTGCAAGCTTATTTATCTTTTTGTAGCTATATATAATTCTCCATTAATAATTACATACCGCTATACAGCTCTCCTTTACTCCTCTCTTCATTCCCTTTACTCCTCCCTCCCCCCCCCCTCTCTCTATCACTAATATATTAATAGTACAGCCGATCAAACGCGCATCCAATCTCATTATGACACGTAATTCACAAGCGAATTACCAAAGCTTGCCAAGAGAGAAAATTCATCGCGACATTCAAATCACGAAAAAAAGTGCCACACGGCAAATTGAATTACATCGCTTCATATACATGTATCTCTTGGAGGATTGCTCGACAAAAAATCGCGCATAAAAAAAAATTGTACCAGGCAAATCCCGAGGCATCAAAATCTCACGGAGAATATATCCAGAGACGTTTCTGTATATATTTTAAATGTCACGCATATTAGGTTTCCCTCATGCCGTTATGAAATTTATCATGCAGAAGTTTAAAGCTGCTTTTCAATTTTCCCAATACGTCGCGTCTCATGTCCAAGAGATAATATTTATAACGATAATTGTAATAAAATATGGATACCAAAATAAGCGACATACTACAACATGTATCTTTATCAATAATAATTATGGTCTTAATTTAAACAATTTGCATATATACCAACCTTATGAATAGATGTACAATGATACCCGTTCCATCCTCCTGAAATAATAAAAACATTTAGTTAATAATTAATGCATATTATTACAGCTACTTATAATAATAAATATACTCATTATAGAGCTTGCATTATTCTATCTAAACATTTAATATTTCAAACTGTCCGATAGTAATGTATTTTCAAAGTTGTTAGAGGTAGCGGAGCACTTCTATAAAATAAATAAGCGCAGTCAACGATGAAAATAAACAAAATTAACATTATTGTCATTTTATGCCGATAATTGGCTGTCTATAAAATGAACCATAAATGTAATTACTCGGTTAAATCGTGAAGCGCGTCGCAACGAGGCATAAAAGTGAGGAACACACTCTCGGCACAAGCCGCAGTTTTTCCGCGCATCCTGTATGACAGGCGACGTAGCTTCGTGTCGGAATTTATGTGGAGAACATGCATCCGCCTGAATTCATCGTATAAGGGCTTACTCGTGCGATATGTCACACCAATACTAACCGCTACGCGGATGTGTGAGCGTACATAGGTGAAATCGTGGATGTGAGCGCATCGGTTTTGCATTTTTCAAGCCGATAATTTATCAATCTTGTCCACCCCGATTCCACCCCAAATCCTATTCTCTAGCTGGCACGGCGGCGGAACGGCGAGGGTGAAGAGGAAAGGCCGGTCTACGATCGGTCGTTTCTGGCAGGGAAATAATGAGCCTCTTTAAAGACCGGAAGTTTTCATTCGCGCGAGCCTGGAAAATCGATTTTCGCACTTTGTCGAACGCGCTATTCGCATCGTCATGCGTCAGAAAGCAGCCGTACGCCCGATTTTACCCTTGAGAGTATATTGTTGTCAAAATACCATGGGTACAGCGATAATAAGCGATAATAACACAATCGCACGAAAATTTTGTGAAGCTCGTTTCATTACTTGCCTAAAGTTTAAATTAATATTTCTTGTTTTAATTGTAAAATCTATTTGAAGAGCTAATTAAATCAGACGATTGAGATCTCTGCTTCTCATTATTACAAGCGTATCTAGATTAATTGATATTGATAAATTTAATATCTTGCTTCCAATTGTATTATATAATTTACTATCATATTTTACCGTGCAATCATTGATTACGAATATACAGTTCACATTCTATCATAAGATACAACTTTCAATGAAATGTTTGCTGCTTACGCGAAAAAGAAAGTATACTTTTATATTAACTTTACTTTCTTTAGCTCATTCAACACGAGAGATACGAATGGAAACGAAAGTTTATCAATACAAAATAACTAGGTATCTCTACTTATTGAGAAAAAATATGGCAATCCATTCAAATGTTTCAGAGAGGCAAGAGATTTATTATCTGCTCTGATTCGACTGAATTTCCAACAATAAATTAAAATAAGAATATTATTAGTGATTAAATAAAAAAATATAAACAAGATTGTACTTTTTGAAACTGATATAAATAAACTATAAATAAGAAAATAAATACATGAAAAGAATGGTGTAAAAATAATTATGACATTAAAAATGAAATATAAATTTACAAAAACTTATACCCATCTTATTTAGCATAATTTATTTGTTTTTAGATAAGAAGATGAATCATCATTTATCGTTCGTTTTATAGCCTCTCCATTATGAAAAGCTGAGCAAGCTTCTACGAATCATTATTTAACTTCACTTTTACCTTATTCAGCGAAAAAAAACGAAGATGAGACAAATGTCTTTTCCAATTGAAATAAGAAAGAGAACGAACATTGGTAAAGATCTAATCCACAAAAATGCATTTTGCATGTTTAAAATGTATTTGCAATAAATTAATAAATCTTATTTAGTAATATAATAATTAATAATTCATCTTTTGGTAGGCTAGTAAATAATAAGTAAATTTCAATTCCTTTATTACAAAGTGTATCTAGTTCCTGTAAAAAATCGAAATAAAAAAATTGTTATATTTATTTTTATTTATAATATTTTATTTATCATATATTGCACACATATATATATATATATATATACTTCGAAACTATTGTCATATATGAACGAATAGAGCCCGTAACTTCTGCCGCATATACGTAATGGGAAAAACTAGGTTGAATGTAAGTTATGGAATTTGAGAGAACAATATTGGAAAGCGTAGGAAGTTATATGCCTTTCTATTTTTTAATTCAAAGTCACGATTCTCTTCTCGCTATTTCAGAGACACGAATTCATAACTTTTTTCATACCTAACTTTTACATAAATTATGCAAAAAATTTCGAAAAGAACAAATGTTTTCTATTTACAACGCAAATGTCAAATATAAATATGTCTTATTTATGTCATTTATTTTTTTGCCTTGCTTTTCATAAATCAATCTGTTTATATAATCGAAATCGTTTTCACATCTTCTAATCATATGAAATATAATGCAAAGTATCGACAGTCAACACCAGGCGCGTTATATTCTGAATTCAATAAGGAAAATTCGCCTCGCTCGTGGAATCGAAAATTATATACGTTCTCATACACGTCTTGAGAGTTTCCTAGAAATTCTCAATTGCTTTCACGAAACTTTAAAGAGGTATGCAAGTTTGAACCGTTTTTCATAGTTAGGAGATCGCGGCTGTATATGTCAGACTTTCAAGTAGCAAAGAAGTGGTTACAGTCGGACGTATACAAAATGATGGTAGTAGTGCAAGCATGTACAGTCAGCCAGCATTGCGCATTCCTCTATACGACTGACTGTTCGATAAGTTTTGATCTTATAATAATATTTATTTTATCTATTAATATTTTTATCGCAAACATTATCTAAAAATCTTTACCTTTGAAAATTATTATTTCAATAAATTCGATTATGCGGAAAATATAATAAATGATATGATATCTCTAAAAGAAGTATCTCTACAAAGTTCCCACTAAATGATAGAAATGTTATCATAACGAAGGCAATTCGTATCCGCAAACTAATGAAATTGAAATAACGAAATGCGATGTACGTCAAATGAAACCAATTTTATCCTTTATAATGACGGCTCGAGCTCCCACATATCAACGTACGCGAACGGATTCAATAGAAGAAACTTCTATTATTAGATTATTACGGAATATTTCGTTTGGAAATTAAACTTTCAATGGACACCGACCAGCGAATGCATGAATGTGAATTTCTCTCTGACGCTAGTGAAATGAGGAGAATTTTACTAATAATGACATAATTGTTATACTGCGTCGCTAATGAATCTCTCAGCACAAAATCACCATGTCCACTGAGGCACAGAATTCATTCAGAACTTTTTCAACTTCGAACTTAATTCAAAGCGAGAGGTGCGATAAGAAATTTATTCAGAAGCTGATGAGGTATTTCGTGCGGATTTTTCTTCCAACGCGTTCAACTCGATCGTCGGACAGAGAAAAATGCCCATCGGAGGAACGAACTCCGATAATTCATCCAGATGAAGAAAGCAATTAGCAAAACGCAATTAGCGCATCGTCTGTGTTCATTTAATTTACCATTCCTTTGTGCTATATATTCTCTTCAACGTTGACGTCAAACACTTGCAACATTTATTAATTTTATACAGCATATAAATTGATAATTGTTCAGAATAAACATAGTAAAAACAAATAAACAATTAAATATTTATTATTTTCAATCTTGATCAATAGTTAAGTAGTACTCTTGTAAAATTTTCTAATATAATTGGATTACACATTTAAATCCGTAAGGAATCGAAAGCAAAAATCAATCGTATTGAAGAATTTTACAGTTTACAACAGTTGCAAAACTGCACTTTCCCTGTTAAACACAGCCAAAAAAATCTAACAAAATGAATCATAATATTTAAAATGTAAACAGTAAATATCAAGAATAAAAGGATCAGATTTGCATAAAATCCCTTCGTGAGGATAAGAATAGAAATCTGACATTATTGAAAAGGTGAGAGATTTATGATTCAAGGATGAAACAAAACGGTGGTGGGACTAAAGCGCGATTCAAAGAATGAAGCTGGAAAACTTGTAATAGCGAAGGAAGACAAACTACAGCTCAGAAAGTTGCGAGAGTTCTAAAACTTCGTAGAAATAGATGCATGACCAATGTCTAGCAATATTACGGAAACGAGACCGTTGTATTGCACCAAGGGCCAGACAAGTTGTACGAGACAGAAGTTATTACACCCAGGAGGAGTAGGGCACATTAGGATCAAAATCACAAATCCTTGCGCACGTGACTCGCCTGCAAAACTTCTGATCATTCCGGCGCCAGAACTTGCGGCCGATAAAAATATATCATTTGCCATCGTACTTCATCGACATTTCGACAAAAAATAAATGGAAACGTACGTGCGTGGTGATGAGGAACGCTTCTAACGTGACTGGCTGCGAAACAATCACCATTTCGCAATTCCGTAATTGTTGTTACATATTTCTATTCATACACGCTTTTACATTCCTATATTTCCTACTATTTCAAACAAAATTGAATTATTTCCATTGTCACTAATAGCCTCGATCCTCGCACCTTCATCAGGCACCCCTTTTATACGATGCAAATCGCTTTTTTGTTCGCGAGTTAGATAGGGCAAAGAGGAAATTGCTCGTGACCTCCTGAAAGGATCTTCGCGTTGGTGTAGGATGAAGGTACACAATGAAGCCTGGCCCTTTGTTGCAACGATGATAATAATATTTGTCCAAGCATAATTCGGGAAATATTCAGGACTTCATTTAAGACAGTATCGCCGCGTCGCAGAATATTCTTTGAAGGATTCACGAGCCCTTGGAAAATTTATTCCATCTGCTTCTTCTTCTTCTTCTCTTCTTATAAAACTGCACGACGGCATTTATACGTCACAAAACTGTAACTGCAACTTTATCGTATTGAAAAGTTTTGCGATATTACGAGAAAAATATACCTCTCTTAAATCAAATAAAGTCATTATGCACACATAAGTCAATTTGTATTTTAATATCTCAATTTATATTAAGAATATAAGAAATGTATTTCACCGTCGATATAGTTTAATTTATCAATAATAAAATAAAATGTAATCGTTT